TAGATGGAGAGGCGGCCGGGGGAGGCGGGTGGCTGACCTGAATTAGCAGCAGTCCAACATCTGTATGAGGCGCTGCTTTTGTTGCACTGAGCTAATTAGGTTAAAGGCAGGCCTTGAACTGGTTTTGTAGTGAAGGGAATCATTTGAAGAGAACAAATTTCCTATTAAATCCCTTTTTTTTAATTGTTTGCCAGGATGCACATGGTTATAATTTTCTTTATGGTGGTAAAGTCATGCAGAGGAAGAACAGAGCATAAGCAGAACATCTCTGCAAGCCAATCGTTCATCTATGACAGTAATAAAAACCACCTTTCCCATAAATAGCCAGCACAGTCTTTGCCGCACAGATCCTGCTTCTCACTTGGGTGCTGGGTGAGTACACAGAGGACGGGCTGCGTCAGGTGGGGGATCTCACCCAGCCTGTGCAGTCAGCCCCCCGAGACGAGCAAGGACGGGGGCTGTGGGGTCGCAGCTCGCCCAGAGACCGGACCTGCCGCCACTGAAACCCGCAGCAGAGCAGAAGAGGGTGGTGGGTTGTTTTTTTTTGTCCAAAGAAACATGAGCCAAAGTTGCTTTGGGATCTTACTTGTTGATGATGACTTGATGAGGTCTCTGTCGGGAAGCCCCCACAGCGAGGTGTGTAGCCTACGTGAGGAGGACAAAACCTGGGCTCTGGGAAGGGGAGGTTCAGCCTGTGCTTCCAGGGGCACGGAGGAAGCAGGTTTTATCTCAGACGTCCCTCCAGCAAACTGCACCGCACCTGAAAAAACAACGTTCCCCCAAATTCATGGTGAGGCCCGGAGAGCACAGCCTCTGCAAGGGGACTGCGTGCGCCTCTGCTTTTGGTTGGAGAGCTGTAAGGTTCACAGCGCTCACACGTGTGTGGGGACAGTGTCTTTAGACTTCAGCCTGTTCAGTTCTGTAGGAGCCAAGTCAAGGCTCAGATACGGCTCTTTAGAAGATACTTTTATATTCTAAGAATTTTCTTACCGCTTCTGTTTTCAACCTGTTTTGCACCCCTTTGTTTCTGCATTGAACCCTGGAACTGCATAATCAGCAGCAGAAAAAATCGTTTGACTGATTTTGCTTGCTTTCTCTCCCTCCCTCCCTCTTTTGTGACAGATTAAAAAGCAGCAACAAGATGTGTTAGGTTTCTTGGAAGCCAACAAAATCGAATTTGAGGAAAAGGATATCGCCGCCAATGAGGAGAATCGGAAATGGATGCTGCCGCCCCGGCTCTTCAACGACAGCCGCTACCTCGGGGTAAGGCAGGGCTCCAGGCCTCCAGCTCTGCTCGTCCCACCCCTCTTACTCGCTGCCATAGTCTGTGCTGTGCTGTTGTGATCAGCAAGAAAGGACTTGGCCAGCTGTATGTTCAAGCGTGCCAGCTCCGAAGGGCGTGGGAGGTGTTAGATGTTTACCCCTCCTCTTGGGCTGTTAATAATAATTGATTCTTGAATATTCCCATTCTGCCGTAGAGGAGAGATTAAAATTTGGATCTCCTGATTCTCAGATCGTTGTGCTACTTACTGGAATGAGCCTACCACTACCTTGCAGTGTGTATATACTTTTTTTTTTCCCTGTGGGTTTTTCCCCTTCTTATGGCTCTGAAAGTTTACAGGTTTGTTAATTCTCATGTTCCCCAGGACTGTGAGCCAACACTTCTCAGAAATCTGGCACTGTTGCACCAGCCTGATGTTGCGTAGCGAGTTCGGAGAGCTGTTCTGTCGACGAGGGGTTTGCCAATATGTGTGGATCCCAGATCACTCTGTAGTCTGTTCATCTTCCAAAATAAGTGCTCATAGGAAGTGAGGTCTGCCGTGGTCATAAATCAGATTTTTGATCCTTCTTGGGGTCCGTTTTTGTGTACCGCTTGCAAAGTGAAGGCTGTTGCGGTCCACGTACTCCAGTGCCTTGAACAGGTTAAAACTCATGTTGCAGATACAATTCCTGCTTGTAATTATTTTAATGCTTGATCAAAAGTAAGTTGCCCTGCAGCACTTCTGCTCAGCAGGCCATGCTTGAATGATTATTAGATTAGCTGTTAATTTCATTTTTAAAACTTAATATGTTCTGAAAAGAGCTCACAGCATGCATTCCTCTGGTGCTGTGTGTTGGTTTCCAAGTTGTTTTGCAGTCTGGTTCTGACCTGCAAAGTCTGCAAGTCAGAACCTGCCGGTTCTGGACCTTTGCGAGGCGATTCTGTGGCTACTGAAAGGAATTATTCTCAATGTGCCAGGAACTTCCCTTGCTTGTAACAAAAGCAGAACTTGAAATAATGTCCACAGTAAGCTGATGTACCACTGGGCTCTCTAAAATGCTACTGACTCTGGTTGTGACATGGAAAAAGATTGGTTTGGAGCGACAAATGTACCGATCAATAGCTGTCTGCAGCTGAAAGCTGAGAAGGGGCTGGTCACGAAGCGTGGAAAATCAATCCCTGTTCAGTTGTCTGTCTTGAAAAACAAACCAACCAACCAACAAAAAGAGGCAAATATTTCTGTAGCAGGAGGAAGCCCCGTTGCGACAGTATCGCCTCTCTCCCTTGGTGTACCAGAGCTTTGGGGATGCCAGCAGACCGCTGCGCAGTTGTCCTTTTCAGTGAAATGTTGCCAGATTTCTGGTGCGTTGCTGTAGCCGTGCAGCGGAACAGGGCTTTGCTGCACAGTGCTGGGGGACAGGGAGAGAAAAAGCTGCACGCACCTAGATCGGGGTGCTTGCTTATCAGAGGTGCTTCTGATGTATCCCCAGCTGCAGCCCGTGACAGTTCTGTGCACAGTAGTTTGGGGGAGAGGGGTGTAGATGCTTCAGATTAGTCCTTGCTGTGGGTTCATCTCCAAAATTTTGGTTGATACCACTTTGAACTTTTGAAGTTTGGTCAATTTGTGTAGCTGGATTCAAGTTACTGCAGTTTAACTTTCAGGAAGGTAAAAGTTAATTCTATGCCCCCACACTTGAACCTCTTTATGTCTTTATCTGATCCCTCTCGAGCATGAACTTCCCTGTTTGTTTCATCTGATGCAGCAGAGCTGGCGGAGGAATGAGCCAAATGGCTTTTGTTGGCCTGTGCGCCGCGGAGAGGCTGTAAGTGGCGAGGACGTGCACGTTGGCACGAACCCTGGCCCTTAGCCACTTGTGTCATCAGGCAGCCCCAGTGCTGTCCACAGAAGGGCTTCAGGGAGGATGTAACACAATCGTACACGTTTTTGTCAAACTAGCACCCGAATGCTACTCGTACAATAATTTGACATCCTTGATCTCTAGGCTGTTGGAATCCTCTGTTCCCTGCACTTTCTTCTATTCCAGCTGCAGCAGCCTCTTCCGAGAGCTGCTCCTGCTCTGAACACAGCGCTATTTTCTAACAGCATTTGCTGTTTCTTAGGCTTTTGCCTAAGACAGGCATGCAAAGCAGCGTGCCCTTAATGGCAGCTCTCTCCGTGACTTCAGCCCGAGCCTGAGCCTGCTCGGAGCTCTGCCTTGCCTTGGGTTTCTCAGCCAGGACTCCTGCATCAAAACTCTCCCCAGTAAAGCTGGAGGAACCCGGTACTGTTGCTGCAGTTAAAGAGGGAGAGAAGGAAAGTCACAGGACAGATGTGTGCTGGGTTTGGAAATGGGAGTGAGGGAGGTATGTGGTAACTCGGACAGCAGTGGACTTGCACAAACCTTCTGGGTTCGTTTGGTCGGCGTTTGGCAACTGCTGTCGCTGAGCCACCCTGGGGCCTGTGTGCTTGCTCTTTCCTAACTTAGCAGACAAGCAAGCTGTGTTGTTTGTACTCCGTACAGCACTGCATTCTGCCTCAAACACAAAAAAGGGCAGAGAAGGAAGCATTGGTATTTCTTCTATTATTTCACTGTTTTTACCTTCATTTCCCTGGGCAGTGGCTGGGTGTGTATTTAGAGCAGCGGTCGTGCACTGCGAGTACAACGCACAGTGCCACCCACCTGCTTTCCTTCATTGGCGTAGACTAATCATTAATGGGAGACTCGATGGGAAAGGATGTACTCTCGGTGTACAGGTTTAAATTTAACTTTCAACAGGTTTAAGAGTTAATGTCCATAGTTGCCATGACTAATCGGTAATTAGCAATGACGTCTTGGGACGTCAGTGTTTCTGTGTGGGCTCAGCCCGCTCCTGCGGGAGGGACGTCCGTGCCAGGCAGGTGATGACAACTACCTTGCTATGGAGGCTGTCCCTCTGGGAGCAGCAGCCTCTTGGTGCTGCAGATACTGAAATTCCAGCTTGTCACTTTTCAGACAGTACCGTTTCTGTGGTATCAGTGCTAGTGATAAACATCTGAGGGGACGCTCCGAATTCTGCTTTCGGCCACAGGAAGCAGTTTGCTCGGTGCGGGTTGGGTAGCACACCAAACTGAGCTGCCACTATTTCTGACCATTCATACTTCTGTCTTTGGTTTCCACCCCCATCCCTGACTCCCGTGGCGAAGGACTACGAAGCTTTCTTTGAAGCTCGAGAGAACAACGCGGTATATGCCTTTCTCGGCTTGACTGCGCCGCCTGGTTCAAAGGTAGGTGTGTACGTTGCTCACAGTAAGTCACAACCTGTGTTTTACACCTTGTTCTTCTCTGCTCGTAGTAGGATCTTTTACGTGTTCTGTGGTTGCCCCAGGAAATCTACCTGCTGGTCTGATACTCAGTCTCCAGAGACTAACTTTCAGGCTTCAGCATCACAGCAACATGCTGTTGTTATGTGCTGGTTTGTTTGGAGGATGCTGTGCTCCCCGGAGGCATCTTCCTGCCCCTCCTTCTTCCAGTGCTGTTGTTATGTGCTGGTTTATTTGGAGGATGCTGTGCTCCCCAGAGGCATCTTCCTGCCCCTCCTTCTTCCAGAAAAGCTCAGTGTTCAGTACAGATGCTCTTCTGGTATCCTTGCTGCAGAGCCACCCTGCTCTTTCTTAAGTTAATGGAAAAGCTTTTGTTGCTTTGGAAAGAAGAGTTGGTTCAAGTTCTTCACTAGTAATAATTGTCTCTTACCACTGGGTTTTTTTTTTGTTGTTGTCCACTATGGGAACAAGTGAAAAAGTGTTAATATTTGCACTCACTGAAGAATGCACAAGAAATCTAGATGAAAAAAAGTGTCACGAAACCAAAGGATTATTTCAGTTCAGTGAAAAAACTTAATTCATGTGAAGTTTTGATGAGACTTTTGTAATAGAAAATACCTGGAGACCAGAATCACTGTTTTTGAAATAACGTGGTCTTGCTTCAGAGCAATTTTTTCCTCCAGCTTGTTATCTGAAGCCTTGTTTTCCTTTGGCAATTACAAACTGGGTTGCTGCTTTGTGGATGCAATGGGCTGGAATTCTCCTTTTGATTTTGATAGGATAGGACAAGCCTGCTTTATACGTTTCACTTGACAGCAGCAGGATCCTCCAGGTCACTTCCAGAATTCTTGTTCCAGTGAATAAACACGCTATTTCCTTTCAACTGTATTCATGTAAGAGTTGAAGGTCATGCTGTGCACATCACGAAGAGACCTAATTTTAAAGGTCCATCGGTATTAAGCTTTACAAGTTACGGGTCAGATTGAAACAGTTTTGGGAGCCAAACGATTTTCTAGCGGTCGCTCCGCTAACGTGAATGGTGTCGCGAGGAAAAACTCTGCCTTGTACAGAGAAGCGCAGAGAGCAAAACCTGCGATACGTGCCCCCGCGTCCTGCGTCGCTGGCGTCGGGAGGCCAGCTGCACACAGTCCGATAGTCACGTAGGTCTTATTCAAGCTTCTTGGAACATCTGCAGAGTGCTGCACAAAAGAGCAGGCAGGATGGAGCCAAGGGGTGCGAAGGCAGCCGGGAGCCCACGGGACGCAGGAAAGCCCGTGCGTTTCCCCTCACGGCCGAGGTCTGGGAAGTGCGGTGGTACTAGAGAGGAGTTCCTGCCGTAACGAATCAGGTCATCTGTCTCTGTAACGTCTGTGAACATCGCCGCTTGCTCAACCTGCCAGATCGCAGAAGCAGTCTGCACGGCTGTTAGTTGCTCTCATTCTGTCCTCACCTGAGGAGAAGGTGAGTTTTAAAAAGGAGAAACGGAATGCATTTGTACTCCGCTGGATTTTCCTGTTGCTCGCTACAGCATGGGGAGGTGCATTTGAGCTGATGAAGATAACCTTTGCGCAGGTGACCTTGAACCCAGAGCATTCTGCTGTTGGTCTGACTTTTGGTATCCGTCCCACAATTACATGATGTCAGATCAAGCTGATTTCTCCTCAGCAGCAGGCAGAAACTGATTTGTAGATGCTGAAATTGGCATTTACAGCATAGCTGCGTGCAGCGTGGGTATGATACTGTGTAGGGTAATGACATTGCGTCTGCGTTTTTTGCGACATAAAATGGAAGGAGCCTGAGAGCAAGCTGTGTGCTGTTGCAAGAGAGGCCCTTGACAGCAAACCTCCGTTAAGTGTCATCGTGAGAGATTTGGAAAGTTGTTTGGCTCTGAACGCAAAGTTCCAATATTAATGCTAAACAAGAAGGGCTCAGAAGGGAGCATGGGAAATGCAAGTAATTATTTACTGAGCGCTGGTGCTTTGGTTTGTGCTTTGGGCACAAATGGACCTACAGACCCTGGGAAACACCGGCATCCAGTTGAAGCGTCCTCACTTCAAGCAACAGAGGTTTTAAAGAGAGAGGATTTCCTCAGTTAAAGGCTGTGATTAGTTATTTAAGGACTGAGAGCATGCTCAGTAAGGGGCCTCAAGGGAGAAATACAGAGCAGGATGGCAGAGGGACAGTGTCAGATCTGAGAAGCTGAGCCAGGTGCCTCGCAGGACTGCGCCCAAGGAAGTGGAGTTTGACTTTCAAGACAAATAGGTTAGCATGTTCTCCGAGTTATTTGTACCCCCTTTCCTGGAGCTGAGAGAAACACCTCTCCAGCTTACCACTGCCTGTTTTGAAGAGAAGTGCTTTGTCCTCCATTTTCTGGCAAAATCCCAAAGAGCTAGATGCCACTTCTGTAGTGCCCACGACTGGCTAATGGAGTTGTTACAAAGCCAAGGGAGCCATCTCCTCTTTGTTACCGTTCAAAGAACCACTTGTCTTTTAGAGAGTATCAAACATCCTTTTTTTCCACCAGGCTTTGTAGTTCTTTTTAATCTTTCCTTCGTTTTTCACCCGCCTCTTCTGCCGCGAACTGATCGGATGCCCTTCGACCAGGAGCGTGGCTGCGGGGGGACGTCCCACACCCCGTCCCTGAC